CGGGGCTACACAGTGATTGACAGGTCTCTACCAGAGACGTATATGTCACTCATTCCTAATATGGTAACTTCTGTTCACCGGTTGTGAAAAAAACAACATGGCGAAGGACGTAATCTAAGATGGTGACTCCGTCTCCGGAACTGGCGCCCGCTCTCCTCCCGGCAGAGTAGTATCCCAGCGGCGGGAAAAGAAGCGGAGGGAACCGTGGGCTGTAACTCTCGTCTCATTTATGGTCTGATAAACAGTAAATCCATTCAAATTCAGTGCCCCATGCCATTATTGCTGTTTTCTAAGCTACTACAGCTGTCATATTTATTGTCATACAGAAGTGGGTTTCATCTCTCAGTCCACTGCCTTAAATGAGTCAGTGGGTGAACTTAGACCTGGAGCTGAAGATACACTTTAACAGCCTTGTTGTAATGCGTGAATCAGAGTATTAATGAACAGTTCATGGATTATACGGTTGTGAGTTTGCTGCACTTTCTTGTAATTGGGGGCGACCGTGGCTCACTGGCTTAAGACGGTTGTCTGGTAACCGCAGGGTCAACGTGGCACATCCTCGACTGGGACGTGCCACGTGTCGAAGTGTCACTGGCTTAAGAGGGTTGTCTGGTAACCGCAGGGTCAACGGTTCGATCCTCGACTGGGACGTGCCACGTGTCGAAGTGTCCCTGAGCAAGACACTGAACCCCCGGCTCCCCGGGCGCCTGTCATTGGCAGCCCACTGCTCCCTATATACAGGGATGGGTCAAATGCAGAGGTCAAATTTCGTGTATGTGTATATGTATATGACAATAAAAAGGATTTCTATTCTATTCTATTCTAATTGTAAATCTCTTACCGTCCACTCAGGATTGGTTGGTTTCACACCTGCGCAGTCACTCGCTGTGTCTGGTCCGTTTGTGTTCGAGGCAGCCCAGTGTTTCTCCTAGATGTTAACCTTTGACCTGTGCTCGGTTCCATTACTGCGACCCCTCTCTGAAGGGTGGGAGTTGCTGCATGTTTGTTCGCTGTGAGGGAACTCCTCCCAGGCCGACTCCTTGACCTCCTAACCTTTGAGTAAGAGGTCAATAAGCCTGCAGTAGCTTCCTGACTTCTAGGTGTTGAACTTTCACACCTTATTCCAGCCGTTGTCCTCTTTTAACTAAAGCAGGACAGGACCTAGCTTCTAGCTAACACACTCTAGAAAATCTAACCAGAGTGCTACTGATCAGAAGTGACTTTCTCTTCACTTTTGATCTCTTTGTCTCGGTAATGTCGGCTGTTACTGAGATACTGTAATAAGTTACTGAGAATCTGTTCTGACACGAACATCAATCAAAGGATAACTTGATTGTTTGTGAATTATTTAGTATTTGCTGTGAGAGATCTGTCCTGTGGGAATAAAGGCAAACACATTATAAGAGATCATAATTCATATAAGGTAGGTAACTTTGGCAACTGAGAATAATCCCCCTCAACGTTCATGAATGTTTAAGCACATTTGATTATTTTACTTATTTACAAGTCAATGCTATGTGAGTTTAATGTTTAAAGTGATCTCTGCATCTTATAGGTATTTTACATTTATATTATTATAGATGTTTGTATCTATAGACATCTATAATGTCTGAATGAGAATCTGAGGGAGGATTTCTGAGAATACTCTCAGAGGAGGAGACACGGAGAACCTCCATGATCAGGAATGTTTCCTTCACTTCTTACCGGCACACAGTCATACTTTGAATACGCTACGTAGCTGCTTCATTCTACTTCCAACACATGTACTATAAAGAGGCAGTAATGTCAAGTGTTTTGACGGACATTTTACTCTTGTTAATGTTAAAATGAAGTAATGTTTAGTCAGGCCTTTTTATGGTCTCAGTGTAGATGACAAATGTTTCTTCTTAGACTGTCAAACAAATGTTTTACTGTAAACATGATGTTTAAAAGTATTCATCAGGGTTTCTGTGTTGTGTCTAAATGTTTTCCAGTCCTTTGGAAATACATGAGTTTAAATCACGGAACAGTTCCTGTTCTCGGATGGACCGAGGCTCGCCTCATTCAGAGGAATGGATTACATCATCAATGGATTACATCATCATAGAGCCGAGAGGAGCAACTCCCCTCACACACCTCGGTCCCTCCCTCTCAAACTAGTTTCTACCTCCTTCCTCCTCTCTCCTTGTGCTTTACATCACTCTGACAGTAGTCTGTCTCCTTCATGTCACCAACTCTCACTCAGACATGGATCTGAAGGTCTCTTCTTCTTCTTCCTCTTTAAAAAAGGGCCCGTTTTGTTGTAAAGAATCCTAAAATAAGTGGGCAAATTGGGTAGGAGTTTCCCTTTTTTTGCTTTTAATTCTGTTGCTGAATTTTGTAGGTTGTTAGGTTCCCATTTTCTGGATTTGTGAGATTCAGCTATTTGGTGTTTCTTTCCATTGTATTCGGTGAGAAACTTTTTTTTTTTTATTTTGATCTGAAAATAACAAGCATGAAGCCTGAAGTTGCAGGTTTTTGTGTTATTATAGATAAACTGTTGATGGTACAAATGGCCAATACACAACTTATTACACAATATATAGATTGATCAAATTATTTCAATGGACAAACCAGGCGGCAACCTCCTGCATTCTCTCTAGTGTCCACCAGGGGGGACTCCTCTGGTTGTATGGAAGTCTATGAGAAAATGACTCTACTTCTCTCGATTTATTACCTCAGTAAACATTGTAAACATGAGTTTATGGTCTCAATCTCTAGTTTCAAGTCTTCTTCAATACAGCATGATGTTCATTTAGTACATTATGGTCCATTTAGAGTCAAACAGACCATAAAGCAGTAGATGCTTTAGGGCGGGGCTGCTGTGATTGACTCACTCCTCCACAGTCAAAATATGGTCACTAAAGTCAAGATGGCGGCGGCCAAATTGCGGAATTTGAGGCTTTAAAACATCAGTCCATAAACCAACGGGTGATGACTACGTCCACTTCTTATAGACAGTCTGTGGGACATATTAATGGATTGTCTTTGACCTCATCTCAACTATATACAACGAACATGACATTTCAAAAATACAGCTACTGAGAAGCAGTGTCTATGGACAACTGAATCTCTGCACAGTTATTGAAGGGTCGTGTATATTGACATTGATATCTATAATGTATGTGCATTATTTCATCGTTTCGTGCTGTACGTAGGATCAAGCCTTATACTTCATGAGCTGACATGAATACGAACATGGTTCTGAAGGCTTCTGGGTTTGTGTTCGTCCATCTGTGCGGTCAGAGCTGCAGCTGTCCACTCGACATCATCACAAAGTGGACCGTGACTTTGGGATATCTTTGGACAGAAGGGCCGGCACATGTATTTTCTAGTTTCACCTCATATGTCGGATTTAGACCTGGTGGGTTAAGAGTGGTCGGATTCACACATCCCAAGCAGGAAGTGAAGACGACCCGCGTCCTGCCTCTATTTGTGTGGCCGTCACCCTGACCAGTTGGTATCTATAGCCCCGGTCTACGGGGATAGGAATGGGCTCCTAGCGGCCCACTGACTCGGACAACAATAGAGCTTCATGACCTCCAGGTTATGTATAGAGGAGCGCAGCAGCCATCCACACTGTACAGAGCTGGCTGTCTAAAGGAAGAGCCAAATGGAAGGATGACGGTGCAGAGAGACTGACGTCATCTCTGCGTCCTCTATTTCTGACCCTAAATGTATTCACTAATCTATCCGTCCATCCGTCAGTTACTCTCTCCTCTGCCACCGCTGTGGATATTGTGAAGCTGAAGTCTTGGACGACGTATCCAGAGATGTTCTGTTCATCACTGTGGTCCAGTCGGGGTCAGCCACCATTTTAACCCGCTCTGTCAAACACTGCACAGGTTTGACTTTCTGTGGAGCACTGTTGATTCAGGGTAGAACGGTACACGCACTGTTTATTAACTGGATCTTGGATCCTCCTGGGTCAATACAAATACAGGTATCCACTCCTACTGTTGGTATATATGATGCATTATTGGTTTGTGATGCTTATGGTGTTTCTTTCTCCTCCCACAGGGGTGATCAGCCAGTGGCAAGGCGAGTCTAAGGAGCGCGTCATCTCGCTCGTCCTCACCCATCTCCCGCTGCTCAAACCCGGCAACGTCGAAGCCAAAGGCGAGTACATGCGCCTGCTGCCACGCATCCTGGCCCACACCATCGAGCACGGCCGCCACCTGGAGGAGTCTCGCCAGCTCCTCTCCTACGCCCTCATCCACCCGGCCACCTCCCTGGAGGACCGCTCCGCCCTGGCACTCTGGCTCAACCACCTGGAGGAGAGGGCCGCCGCCCGGGGGGACTCGCTGGAGAGGCCTCCTCCCTCCGGCCCGCACCACCACCACCACCACCAGTCCACGCCTCCGTCTACGCTCTCCTCATCAGGCTCTTCCTCATCCTCCACTAACACCTCTTCATCAGGCAACCCCTACTCCTTGCATCACCACCAGCGCTACAGCTCGGACGACCGCCTCAACGGGTGGCAGAGCTCCAGGGACTCGGGGCTGGGCGGAGGCTGGCCTCAGCAGCAGCAGGGCTGTGAGAACGGGCACCTCCTTCTCTACCCATCGTCCTCTGTGCCGGCAACCATCAACGCTGTGGGAACCGGTGGAGGCGGCAGCACCAGTAAGAGACTCTGAACACTCAAAATACACTCTGAATACACTAAATACACACTAAATACACACTGAATACACTCTGAATACACTCTGAACAGACACTCGCTAGAGAGGCTGTGTGCGGCGGACGACAACACGCAGGGAGGGCAGGGCTGTTGAAATTGAACATAACTTTGGTCAGAGCAGGATATTTCCAGACAAAAATGCAAGGGCTCTGTGTTTTTTTATTTTCTGGGAGATGAAAGAAACAGCTGAGGGTTTATAAATAAAGACATATTTAAAGCTCTGCTCACTGCTCCAAGAAAGACCCTC